GAAGAGGAATGGGGCATCAGGATTGGTGGAAGACTCATTAACAACCTGCCATATGCAGATGACACAACCTTGCTTGCTGAAAACCAGGAGGACTTGAAGCACTTACTGATGAAGATCACTCAGCCTTCAGTAGGGATTACACCTCAACATAAAGAAAACAAAAATCCTTACAACTGGACTAATAAGCAACATCATGATAAATGGAGAAAAGAATGAAGTTGTTAAGGATTTCCTTTTACTTGGGTCCACGATCAATGACCATGGAAGCAGCAGTCAAGAAATTAAATGACGTATTGCATTGGGCAAATCTGCTGCAAAAGACCTCCTTCAAGTGTTGAAAAGCAGAGATGTCACTTTGAGGACTAAGTTGCACCTGCCCCAAGCCATGATATTTTCTGTTGCCTTATATGCATGCAAAAGGTGGACAATGAATAAGGAAGACCGAAGAAGAACTGATGCCTTTGAATTATGGTGTTGGTGAAGAATGTTGAATATACCATAGAGTGCCAGAAGAATGAACAAATCTGTCTTGGAAGAAGTACATCCCGAGGGCTCCTTGGAAGCAAGGTTGGATGGTGAGGCTACATCTTACATACTTTGGACATGTTATCGGGGGGACCAGTTCCTGGAGAAGAACATCATGCTTGGTACAAAGTCGAGGGTCAGTGAAAAAGAGGAAGACCCTCAACAAGAAAGATTGACACAGTGGCTGCAATGATGGGCTCAAGCATAGCAATGATTGTGAGGATGGTATAGGACTGGGCAGTGTTTCGTCCTGTTGTACATAGGGTGACTATGAGTTGGAACCCACTCGTTGGCACCTAACGACAGCAACAACATTGAAGAATGGACTGTCTAGAACTAAAGAACATATTTTTAAAGAAAGCAAACACCTAGGTACAATGTAGTCCCTTAACTGTTATCAATCACTACTTAATCTAATTAGTTTAGAAGCTATTTTAAAGAGCTTAATTAGATTAAGCTGTGATTGATAACACTTTATATCTACTTGAGTAGAGCACTTCTTCTAATTCACCTTTAATCTTTATGCTTCCTGTCAAAAGCCTGTTCCAGGCATGAGCTGAGTATGGGGAAGGATTTGGGAAGCACTTGAAGGACACTGAAATCGCTCTGGGTGCCTCTCAATAGGCTAAGCCAGGAGCCTCGGCAGAGGCCTTGGACACAGACTTTCTGAGACCTCATGGTGCAGCCTTGGCAAGGACATCTTGAGATTCTACTTCAGGAGGCCTGAAGGGTTGCAAAAGGTGGTATTGCGTGCTTGTAGGACCAGATGAGGGTTTAGAGGTCTAGCTAAACAGATTTGGTTCCAGAACAGGACTTTACTATTTTTAGAGAACTGGAGTGTAAACGGGGAAATTCAGATAGATGAGCACAGCTAGGACTTTGCTACTTAACAGGCCCATAGGTGTTTGGGGCTCTGCTCGCCCGCCCAGCTTCAGGTCAGCGTGAGTAGTGGTAGCCACTCGCTCTTGGTGGAAATGAGCTGTGGATCACAGTAGGAACAGGGACAGGGCTGGGGACCAGGTTGCTTAGGCTGCCCGTGGAAAGTCATCTTTGCACAGCGAGACAAGGCACGTGGGCCTGCCCCTGTGCTCCAGGAACTCTGACTTCCCTTTGCTGGCTGGGAACTGTGGGGGAAGGGCACAAGAAGCAGGAGATTATGTCTGGGGTGGGACTGTACAGACTTCAGTCTCTTCTGGGGTGAGAGTGGGAGGTGGGGAGGGGAGCTGGACCTACTGTAGATTAAAGGCCTCTCTTCCTCCTCTCCGCAGCCCGGATGTGTGATGCCCACCTTCGAGGCCCATCGGGCATCATCACCTCCCCCAATTTTCCCATTCAGTATGACAACAATGCACACTGTGTGTGGGTCATCACAGCGCTCAACCCCGCCAAGGTAAGGCTCTCGGGGACTGGGAGGGTGTCCTGTGGGCAGGCCTGGCCTGGGGGCAGTTGATCTACAAGGGGCTTGAAACCCCAAAACTCCTTGTGTAGAGTCTCCGGAGATAATTTAAAAAAAAATTTTTTTTAAATTACATATCAAGTAGATAAAAAGCATATTTGTAAAATCTAAGATATAAAGATCAGTACAATGAATATCCGTGTAGCCATCTCCCAGTTTAAGAAGTAACCATTACAGTTACTTTTGTGATGCGTTTGTTACCAATCCCATTCCGTTCTTTGTACCCTCAGAGTTAACCATGTACGTCAATATTGTGTTTATCCTTCCTTTGCTCTTCTTAATAGTTAGCACCTAAGTGTTTATCCCTAAATGCATTGTTTAGTATATCAGCATTTTAACTTTATATAAATGTAATCATTTTGTGTATATGCTTCATCAACATCACTCAGAATTATGTCTCAAAGGTTTGTCTGTGTTGTGTGTAGTTTTGCTCTGCTGTGTACCTGTTTCCTATTTACTTCCCATTCAGTTTCTTTTTTTTTCCGTGACATCGTCCTTCACTCTCTCTTGTCAAAACCCACAAGATAACCTGCTACAATTTTTTATTGTAATTATATCAAAACAGCAGATCAACTGGGAGCCCTGGTGGCACAGTGGTTAAGAGCTCAGGCTGCTAACCAAAAGGTCAACAGTTCAAATCCACTGGCCCCTCCTTGGAAACCCTGTGGGGTAGTTCTTCCCTGTCCTATAGGGTCGCTATAAGTCGGAATCGACTTGACAGTAGTGGGCTTTTGGTTTATAGATCAACTGTAGGACTGATATCTTTGTGGCTTTATCTTTTGAGTCTTCCAATCCATGAATGTGGTATATCTCTCCATTTATTTAGTAGGACTTCTTTAGTGTCTTTCAATAAAATTGAATATTTTTTTTGGCCATTATAGATCTTGCACATTTTTCAGTGTATTTCCTCCTAGATATATGTTTTATATTTGTTGTTGCTATTATGAATTGTATCTTTTTAAATAGCATTTTCTAGCTGTTTTTTATTGGTGTTTAGAAATGCATTGATTTTAATACTTTGGTTTTTGTGTGGAACAACTCTTTATAATAATTTATCTGTGAATTCTTTGGAGTTTTCTAGATAGGCAATCATCTTCTGCAAGGAATGATGGTTTCGTTTATTCCTTTCCGACTTACACCTTCTTTTTTTTTTTTTCATTTTCTCTTGCCCCAGTGTTCTGGTTAGAACTTTCATTTTAATGTTTAATCACTGTGATGGAGGACATTCTTGTTATTGTTTGATGTTAAATAGAATGTTTTTTATTGTTCATCTTTAAGTATAATATTAAGGGTTTTGTTTCTTTTTTAATTTGCACATACTTCTTTTTAGCTTGAGGAAGCTCCTTTATAACGCTAGCTTACTAAGAGCTTTTATCATGAATGCATATTGAATTTTATCAAGTCCCTTCTGCATCTGTTGATACAACCATATGATTTTCCTCCTTTATTCTCTTAACCTGGTGAATTACATTGATTGATTTTTCTAATATTAAACCAACCTTGCGTTCCTGGGATAAACCCAACTTGGTCATTTAGTATTATCATTTTTGTACTTGCCTATACATGATTTGCTAATATTTTGTTTAGTAATTTGCATCTGTTTTATTAGTGAGATTGTCCTATAATCTTTTTTTTTTTTTTATTTTTCCCTTGCCGGATTTTTGTGTCAAGATATTGCTAGTCTCATAAAATGATTTGGAGAATGTTTGTATCCTGTGGAGTTATGAGTGGAAAATCAGAGTAACTTATGCCTTGAAAGTTTGGTGGAACTTTCTAGTAAAACTATCTGGCTCTGGTGTTTCATTTGTTGGAAGATTTTAAACTATAGATTAAATACCTTTAATGACTAAAGAATTAGTTAGGTTATCTTTTTTTTTTTTTCTTGAGTCCGTATCACTAAGTTTTCAAATTTATTGGGTATAAAATTGCCCATACTATCGCTTATTATATTTTAATCTCTGCTATTGCTGTATTTCTATTCTTTTTTCATTTCTAATTTTGTATCTTCTTTTTTTAAATCAAATGATGCAAGAGGTTTCACATGTTGTTGATGTTTACAAAGGAACAACTTTTGGTTTTATTAATACTCCTTTTCTTTTCTGTTTCATCAAGTTCTGCCCTCATCTTTATTATTTTCTTCCTTCTGTCTTATGTGGATTTATTCTGCTGTTCTTTTCTTAACATCTTAATTTTAATGCTGAGGTTATTATTAGTCAATCTTATTTAAGCACCTAAGGCTATAAATTTCCCCCAGTGAGTACTATGACTTAATTCGCACAGGTTTTTATACATAGCATTTCTGTTATAGTTCTAAATATTTTCTCTTTTTCATTATTCTTTCATCTTTCAACCATAAATTATTTAGAAGTATTTCTTAATTTTAATTTCCAAACACAGGAATTTTCCAGCTCTCTTTTTGCTACTGATTCTAAAGTTTGAGGTCAGAGATCGTTATCTGTATTTGAATTGTTTGAAATTTGTTGAGATGTGGTTTACGGACCAGAAATGGTCATTTTTTATGCATACTTGTATGTGCTTGGAAGAAAAAAAAACTGTATTTTGTGGTGATTATATTACAATATGTCAACTGATTAGAGCTTGTTAATTATTTGTATCTTTTATGTCCTCATTGGTTTTTTTTTTTTTTCTGTCTTCTTGATCAATAAACTAAAGAAAGAGGAATATTAAAATCTCCCACTATGATGGTGATTTGTCTATTATCCTTTAAGTTCTGTCAGTTTCTGCCTTATACATTTTTTGTGATTATGTTATTAGAGCATGCAAGTTGAGAATTGAATCTTTTTTTAAAAAATCAGATTAATGACTCTCTTTATCTCTAGTAATGTTTTTTACCTTAAAGCTTCTTCTCCCTGTCCCCCACTAGCTATTATATCAGCTTTCTTTTGGTCTTTCTCTAATAGATCTTTTTCTATTCTGATACTTTCAACGTTTCTGCTTCCTTATGTTTTACATAAGTTTTGTATATAGCTGAATTTTTTAAAAAGTTCAGTCGAACATTCTACCTCTTAACTGGAAGATTTTGACCCTTCAAAATATACACATTATTCTGTTCTTTAACTGTTACCTACAATACTCTAGAAATATGAACATACATTCTTAATGATAGCTAACATTAAACAATAATTTTATGTTTCTACTGAAAAGTCAGCGATCTTAGAACACTATAACTTTAATTTCCCTCTCCCAGCTCATACACTATGGTGTCATGTATTTTCATTTTACCTTGCTTTTTCTCACAAGACATTATTGTTATTGTGTAATAAAGCCAATGTCCATTTAGATTTACTCAGGTATTGACCACTTCTTTGTTCACCATTCCTCCTTGCATATCAGTCTTTCTTTCTGGAATCACATTTCTTCTGTTCAGAGAACATATTTTAGAATTTCTTTTTGTGTTGATGACAAACTTTCTTAGTTTTTTGTTTGTGTTAAAATGTCTTGATTTATCCCTTGTTTTTGAAAGAACACTGCTTCTCTCCGGATGTTCCATTCTTGGTTGATAATAATTTTCTCTCTACACGTGGAAATATTATTTCACTGTTTTGTAGCTTCCATTGTTGCTGTCAGCTTATTTCCATCCCTTTGTGTAACATCCCCCTGGATGCTTTTATGGTCTTCTCCTTGTCTTTGGTGTTCTGCAGTTTCATTCTCATGTGTCTATGTGTAGATATTTCTGTATTTATCCTACTTTGAGAGTCATTAAGCTTCCTGGATTTATGAGTTGTGCCTTTCATCAGTTCAGGGAAATTTTTAGCCATTAACTTTTCAAATGGAAAAGATTTTTTCTCTTTTCTACTTCTGGAAGTCTGACAAGTCTTTCTCACTCTATATTCTATGTCTCTTAATCTTGGTCATATTTTCTTTCTCTCTCTCATTATATTCACTAATTCTCCGCTTAGTTGTGTCAAATCTCTGTTAAATTAGTTCAGTAAGGTTTATTTTTATTTCAAATATTATATTTTTTTCTTTTAATGAAGTTCTATTTGGTTCTTTTTCAAATGTTCTTGGTCATATATTATAGTCTTGCTCCTTACTCATATGTTTAGATCCTTCTTTAATTCTTTAAATATGTTAGACATACCTATTTTATATTGTTTTTGCTAATTCCAACATCTAAAGTCTTGGATGGTTTGATTCTATTGTCTGTTTCTCACCTCTTGCTTCCAGAACTGTGTTTCCTTCTTTATGTTGTGCTTTTTCGGTATGTGGTTATAATCATAAACTTCATCTGTGGGAATTCTTTAAGACCTGGATAGAAGTGAGTTCTTCCAGAGAGGGTTTGCATTTGCTTCTGCCTGGTGCCTGGGTACACCACCAGCTGAGATCTCTTCAGGCTAAGTTCCCAGTATAAAGGTTTTCAGCCACCCAGGTATTGTGAAGGCTGCAAACCCAACTCATACACTATGGTGGCCAGTATTTTCATTTCAGCTTGCTTTTTCTCACAAGGCATTGTTGTTATTGTGTAATATAGCCAATATCCATTTAGAATGACTCATATATTGCCCACCGAGGGCGACTTAGAGTTATGAAGCCTCAGGGGAAATTTTCTGTTCTCTGTACACTCAGTGTCAACGTCTGAGATACACGTTTTGCCTCCAGACACCCTACCCCCACAGGGTGGTAGAAGCAGAAGAGAGGAGGACAGGTTCAATTCTAGTTCAGTCTCATGCTAAGCGTTCTGCCCTTCACTAGCCCAGTTTTTATGCAGAGGAGGGTCTCCCTTGTTGGGTCTCCCCCCAACTTGGTGGGCCCTGAGCTTTGTCTCCTGACTCCTCTTCTCCACTAGGTCCTGAAGACCAAAGCTCTGCTTCACTAGTTTTTAAAAATGTACTCAAGACCTAAACAAACTTCATGTTCTAAGTCACTCTCAGGGTCCCTATAGTCAATGTGTTTGGGACTCTGAAACTCTGAGT